ACAATTAAAAACTATTCCTCAAAGCACATAACGACAATTTTCCCCAGACTCGCACTGGCATTATCACCGTGCCACAATCTTAGGTTCCTTCAGCCTGGAAATAACAAAGCTGGGAGCCTTTCTGAATCCTGTTTCTAACCTTTTTCAACCTACAACAGCCTCTAGAACCCATTATAAGAAAAACAGATTGCTCTGTCTATCCACTATGGGAAGTAAGCAAACATACTTTCAAGAATAAAACAGCACACAAACAACAAATCAGTAATACTGGAAAAATCAAAGTGCAGCCAAAGCAGATTCTCAATTTAAGGAAGCTATGAAAGCTTTTTCTTACATTCCTGATCTGTTGAAATAGAAATAACTGAGCCCTCCCCCTTCAAACTGAAAAGCCTCATCATTTCACAAAAACTTTAAGACAGCCACAGTCTCAAAACTCACAGAAAGCTATATTTTGACAGCCACTGATGGCAGGAGCAAAGATGAAATGTTCTTAATATGCAGACAAAGAAAATATGTCTTTTTATTTTTAAGTTCACAATGTATTTATTTCTCCCCTCTGTCTTCCTAACTTCCTCCCACCGAGCTAAGTTGTGTCATCAGGCAAAAAGAAAAAATTCACACCAGTTAAGAGTTTCAGTTGTGAAAGAATTCTGATATAGTGATAGTCCTTCTGATAAAAATAGAAAGCACGACACTTGGAAGTGAAATATCTATTGAGAAATAGAGCTAAAAAATATTCTAAATGCTATGAACCCAAAACACTGGGCAATGAGTAGGTAACTGGTACAAGTTTGATCTCTGACAATGATCTGAGTTGCATGGCAAAGCTCTGAAATACTTCTCTCCATACATACATATATAGATGTATATAGTTACTTACAAAGTGTTATTTTTATTTGTATATCTACTTGTTAATGAAATTAAGAACCAATGCAAACCTTTTAAACAATTATTCAAATCCTGAATTTCAACAACGTTGAATACCTTCTCCCAGCTTCAGCAAGTTCAGCATCTAGAGAAACCAGACGAGCGGTTCTCAGATTGAGAGCAGTAACCCCATGGGACTGGCAGGAGAAAGACAGTTTGAGAACCACTGGACTAAGCCACTGCTGTATAATTGTCATCAACTAATAGGTAACCTTTATTAAAAAGGGGGAACTCTGATTCTTCATTCAAGTTGGTTTAAACACACTTAAACCCCATCATGTATGCACAACTGTGTACTAAAACGCCTTGCATCCCTCAAAAAGAAGAAAAATAAAAAAGTAAATAAAAAGAGTTTAAAAAGGCTTCACGCAGTAATATTAAATTCATTCACGGTGCATACTCTGAACAAAATTACAATACAAACTAGATAGCTTAATTACTACCCCAAATGATTACAGATGTCCATGAGGGGAAGAGAAAGTTCACAGAAGAACTGTAAGCTTTTTGTTTCCCAACTACTGTACATTTTCCATTAGGACTGTGTTAATGTAAGCTCTCCTTCAAATATATACGTGTATCCCAAGGAGACTGAAATTATAAACTCACTCGTGTCCTCGCACGTGTCCCAAGTGGTAGGCTCAGAGCCAGGAGGCGACAAAAAGCCTCCATCCTCACACCAGCCAATTCCCGAATCCGTCTGTATACTAACTCTCGTGCCGCTGAGTAAACTGTGAATGTCTTAAAACCTTAAGGGGCTGGGGCGGGAGAAAAAATTCAAGCAGAATTTTATTCTAGCATCATCTTGAAACAAGACAAAATTACCATGCTGAGCTGAACTAACAGAAAACTTTTTTTAAATTACAAGCATAAATAGTTTAGCTGTCTTTTCGGTGAGTTCAACAGAATGCACACTGAGAATGTTTACTTGAGATTTGATACAATTCCATTTGTGTACAGCTTTTACATCTGTTGCTAATGATATCAAATTATTGATTGTTCACTTTCTTATATTTATTTAAACATTAACTACATACTCGGCAACCTGATGCTTTTCTTTTTTTTTTTTTTGCCAGAGAACTTTGTTTTTGCCTGGCTTCAGTTGTAATTACTTTGATCTTCCAGAGTGTATAATTATTTTACTGTTTATTTATTTCTATGAGAAAGGAAAAAAGTTTGACCTAGGAGATCTATATGTGGCAATTTGTAACAGAATCACATAGCTTATGTTTAGGAAATCATGGTTTTGATTAAGAAGCAACCATTTAGTTCCCACTGTTTTATTAAAACAGACATTAGCAGATAATAGGAAACACATTTAACACTGTAGGCTGCATTTAGTTTGCAACGTCAATAAAGTTATTTTGAAGCCCCTTCCTATTTTGCATTTACCACAGCTCATGTGAATTGTTTTTTGCTTTTACTTTCTAATAACCATCTCTAGAGTTACACATGCATATGGGTGCTGGTCCCAAAGACTCTAAATTATAGTTTTACCCAATCTATCCAGATTACAACCTGAAAAATTAATTGCTGCATCATCCATCCACCTTCATGGAAAACTGAAGTCCTTTTATTTAGTTATTACTAAAGGAGTACGTGATGACTGAAGCACATAACTCACGTCGCTGATTTTGCGTACTAACTGAGCTGTCCTGTAGGAATATCTGGCTACAGAAAAGAAACAAAGCGTCATGAAAACAGAGATGATGAGAAATTGAAACCACCCAAAGAAGTGCAGAAGTCTTCCTCTTTCCAGGGGGTTTAGATTACTGCCCTGAAGTTGCATGGCTGTTTATTCTCCATGCACCACTGTACCTGCCAGAGACTCTTTGTTTTCTCTCCCACTCATATGGTTGATGAATCAACACTACTTGAACTGCTTTATAGCAGCTTGTGTTTACTTCACACATACCTTAACCTTCCTTTTCTCCTCCTACTAACACACACATACACTTCCAAACAGCAACGACTGGCTGTGTCTCTTTGAATAGCACAGATAGAGAGTCATCTGGCAAACTCTTCAGGTTTGGATCCTTGACCTCTTGATTGAGGTCTCATTCTGCTTTTACTGCACTTAACAATTTAACTGTGCACTTACTAAGTAAAAAAAGTAAGAGCTTAAAGAATTCAATGCTCTAAGAATGGAAGAAAGTGGAAGACAGCAGTGTGCTAGAAACACTCAGAAGCTGTAGTGCCATCTCTACAGTTAAGAACACTACAGTTAAGGGCTTCCAGTGCCTCTGCAACTGGCACCCTTGCCCAGTTTGGAAAAAAGAAGGAAAAAAAAAAAAGCCCATCTCTGTTCTCCTAGAACGGCAAGTAAAAGCGAATGGTGATGACCTTGAAGCTGTTTGATTCCTTAGATTGTTTTTTAACCAAAAGGATATGTTAGAGCACTTCGAATAAAATTATTTTATTATGAGACACCATTCAGAGAAAAGAAACGCTTCTGAGTCACACAAGGCCAATTTAAAGAGAGAAGAAACTATCCAGTTTATTTGGCACGAGGGTAACTATGTACTGAGATGTCCAATCAACATTTTTACTTGAAGCTTAAATCATTTTAGTAGGTGAAAAGCAACATCTCATTTTCCTCATCTGCATTGTTACACCACTTCTGCCTGAACAATCTTCCTTCTAGACACAAATAATTTTACCATAAAACATTCTTCTTTCCCCCCCCCCCCCCCCCAGTGAAGATCTAATCACTGCACAGCCCAGGCCTGAGCATCTTACAGGTATGCTCCGCACAAGCCAGATGTGCAGAGGAAAACCAGATGCCTCAGAACTCGTTCTGATATTTTATGCAATTTTGTTTCATGTGTTCCTAACTCAAGCAGCAGACTCTTTATTGTATTATTATGCAGATTTCTAGTCTGTCCTATGGAAACTAAACAAGCAACCTTTCATAGCTCATGTATGCCAGCCTTTTAAGAGAAAAAGACGGCAGACTCTTTTTGAAAGATGCTAATCTTCATGCAACTACAAATACAATGGCTTCTCAAGAAGGACTGGACATCACCCTATTTCTGCATAATGCTTGTGAATCCTGTTATGATTTTCCTGGCCACTGAAAGGATCACAGACAGAAAAACAAAAATAGCCTATGTCTTCTTTCAGACAATGAATCTTCCCTTCAGTGGTGTAACAGAGAGAAAAACTATGAAAAAACCTATCACAGGGTAAAGCTAATCTCCAACGCTGATGGACATTTGGGGAGAGAGGAGCCAGTTGGTATTGTGGAAAAGCTTTTGACAATCCCCAAACTCCTGCTCAAAGCACATGTGTGTTTTAAAACAAAAAACCCACCAAAAAATATGGTCCAGTACACACGCAAATCCCTTCCCAAAGGAAAGGATGAATAAAAGAACACATGACAGATGCTTGTCACATCTTGTACACTTTGTGTACTATTAGAAGGTGATCAGGCATTTCAGTGGTGAGAGTGGGATGAACTTACAAAGAATAATTTTATGCCTCAGGCATTCACTGCTAACCAACTAACACAATTTCATTGTAGAAAAAATACAAACATTGGGCTATCTTCATCTTAACTTCAGTGGGTGAAGCACCTTGTTATTTAGCAACGTCTCCTAACAATCAGGTATTAAGTGCACCACTGGTATCCAGATTCCACATGATAAAATATGGCGGGAATGCCAGTACACTTAGTAGCATTGAAAACAGAGAGCAAGGGCACATGTAACTTAGACAGTTTTTTAGTTTTCATGAATAAAATGCAACTAAGGTAATTTAGATAGCAATTTAACTTTTAAATCCAGAGCTACTAAAACATTTTTTTCCCCAAACATTTTAGCTTAATTCAAAACACAGTTGATCTTTCAGCACAGCTAAATGGGATATTTTAAGCATGTTTTAAGTGGCCTGTGTTTTCACGCCAGCCTTGTTTGTAAAGTATCAGATTTAATTTCAAATGTGCTGTGACTGTGCCCTCTTTGTAGACAAATTCACTAATATTATTATAGCTTATTATCACTTTTACTTAAAGCAAATAATCTCAAACTGTCAGCAGAAGTTCAAGAACTTGGAAAGTCACAAAAAAATCAATTTACCTTTAATCTTCTTGTACTTTTTGTACCATCTCCCAAACTCCTGGCACTTGGTTGCTGACACATTGGCATAGTATGTACTATTTACAATGGATGAAATCATACTCTGGAAGTACAGAAAGAAAGACAAAAGTGTTTTAAAATATCTTGCACAATTAGAAATCTTTTCCAGGGAAAGTGAATGACATGCAAGTGCACAATGATCATCCATTTGCGACTTTAAAACCAAAAGAAGTGTCTGATGAGTACACAAAATTGGTTTCATTCTCCATTCTGTATTTCCAGCCATAATTAAAATTAGAAAATAATAATTATTATTTTGCATAATAAAGCAAAAAAGATGCAGTACAAACCTAGACTGAGACCTGCAGCTCAGGCCAGGGGGGCAGTTCTACTTTACTTTGTACTTGTGATATTACAATATCTAAACTTTAGTTGCATAACAACAGGCGGTGCCATGCTGGGGAACACACGCTCACTGCACCTGGGTGAGAACAAGCATGATTTAGCAACCAGATCCTAAAGGTAAGATTAGATGCTCCAGCATGCATAATCCAAATAATGCTTTTCAGATGTCTCTGTTCTGCTTCCAAATGCAGCGAGACCACACAGCCAAGAATTGGAGAACATCCGTGCTACTCGCTGCAGAACAACAGTTAAGCAAATAAGATAAATTAATATAATTTATAGAAACGTGTGATTAGCCCTTGTGTGAAAAATCAGCCAAAAGAGAAATTAACAGTGTCATTCAGAGTGAAGGGAACTACGCATACGACAGTGCAGAACAGCCAAAAACCACAAAAAAGCTCCACAAAACTGAAATATCACTTGCTTAACCACCACCCCTCTCTACTCCTTGTGAATTCCCTCTAAGCGACTCTTAGCACAAGCCAACTGAAGCAGAGAGGAGCGGAGTTGTTTTGCAGCACCTGATACCCATAAAAATGATACTTTATATCTGGGATGCTTCTGCCCATAAGGTGGGAAAGAGCCTGGTTACTGGTAGTTCTTCCTATTTTTTTCCCCTCCCTTCATCGATTCTATAGAAGGGGCATCTTTTTAACAACAACATTTTGCTTTCCTTTCCCCCCCCCTTGAACTCTTCCAGGGTCAAATCATTCCCAGCACGTGTAATTTCCAGCAAGGAAATGCAATCTAACACCACTAACACATGGGAGCCAATGCACCTTCTCCAGAAATTACATCTTCCTTACGCCCTCCTTCCTCACTTACGTCAAAGCTCAGAAAAAGCCCTGGCACGTTGTATGACCTTTCTGCACAGAGACGAGAGCGCGAGGATGATCTCACAGCTCAAACAAGCTATTTACCGTAGGTTCAAGCTCTGGCCCACCAGCTCCTGCAGGCTCTTGTGCAAAATGGGATCTTGGCCATCTCTGGAAAGCTACAAAGCTTACACATTGGCTTACTCAATTTTAAGAATGGTTTAAAAACAAAAACATCCCCTCCCTCTTCCAGATTTATCCAGCCTTCTACCCAATTCACTGCAATATCACAGGACTCCAGCTGTTCCTGAACTCTTGAGTTTTGGGGGACTTAAAAAATGTGAGCAAAACTGAGAGAAGATAACTGGGTGGTGCAGATTAGTTTCAGTCTTCAACAAGTAATTTCACTTTCAGTAAAGAGGCTCTTCTGCCTTTTCACTTTAACTTTTCCACTCGAAGGCTACTACGGTGCACTGCAGTAGAGGTGAAGGCTATGAAGTAAGAGCCTTTTTAAGTGGCAGCTTCAATTTCTAAAACTGAGATTCAATTTTCTAATTAAAATCAATATTTTGAGACATAAACCTAGTATTGTGGCTGTCAGCAGCAATTCCCCCCCCATAAATCCTCCCTTGCTCCAAGTCATTTTAACAAGCAATAGTATTCTGAAAGCCTGACATGGAGATAGCCACTGCTAAGGAAGGATTTTGAACAAAGTTGAGCTGAGATAACTTGCCTTTTTTTGGAGTCACTTTAGTCAAATTTCCAGTCACTAGGGTTGGGAAATTGTTTAGCTCTGTCTACACAACAATTTGTTTTTTCCCCGTTTTTTGTTCCCCTCAAATCCTCTAGTTCTACAATAAATCGACATTACTGAAATTGTAAGGCTATTAAATATCACAAAATACATTAACCCATTAATCTTTATTTGAGAAAGCAAAGCTTAAACTAAATAGTAAAATCGAATAGTAAATCAACCATTGGTGAAAAATCCCAGGACAGATTCTCTTCAACTGCTTGACAGTAGAGCAGGGGAAGGAACCATAACAACTTTCAAACTACATATCCTCACTATTAAATGGAAAGGAATCCTAGGGGTATTTCTGCTAGGAATCTTGATAAGTCTGCAGAAAGGAAATATCCATTCAGAAGAGTGGCAAAAAAAGTTTGACTAATTGCAAATTTCTAAATAATGCGTATTATTCCTGGGAAAATCCTTAAAGAAGGAATAGGTTATCTGAAGTAGCAGATATGTTTGGTATGTGTGTGGCCATGACAGCCATGTGGAATGAAAACTACTTAGACCAGGAGCTAAGAAATATCCACACAAAAAAAATCCAGTGCAGTAAGTTCAAGGAGAAAAATATGGGATGTGCTCACATCCCAAGAAATCTTGCTCCAGTAAAGAGACAAAACTCATGGTCAGTGCTGAAATGAGTTACACAATATACAGGAAAGACAGAGGTCTCTACGCAAAGATGGAAATGCCAAAATAATTGGATTTCTTTCTGCCACACACACTCCCCCCACCTACCCTCCTTCCCCGCCACTTGGTTAACTGGGATTTATTTGTTTGAAAAGGAGCTGTATGCTAAGGGTAGCTAAGCTGCAGCCACATAATACACCTAGCAGAAAAAAACAGAACAATTTTAAATCAAAGGGAATGATTACATTTCCCATTAGCGGCAATCAGAATCCCCATCTGGGCGGCGTGGAGAGTTGGGCACTGAGAACCAGAGACGGAGCACCATCGCTGGTGGGAGCGAGAGCTCCCCGCGCTGCCCCTCTCCACTTCCGTACTTGAGGCACTGTGAACACATTAATAACCAGCAGCATTTACTCTGCAGTTTGACTCCTAAGAGACCACTCTGCAATTTGCTGCTGTCAATAATATATTAACCACAAGGGGGTTGTAATGACATTTCACATTTGGCACGATATTTTTTTAAAACTGATTTGGGAGAAGGAATTGTATTAGAGGCATATTCAGATGATGGTAATAGACAGCTCCTATACAACCTTCCATTGTATCTTTTGCATTTTGTGAGCCAAAACAAAAGAGACTGAAACTTTTTATGGCAATAATAACAATAATAATACAAGCTGCATTCTTGCAGTCCCAGTTCAAGGATTAGTCACTACTCAAGGTCACTTACACCTGTGCTTAAAAGTAAGCAAGCTCAATTTTCTACAGAAGGATCTCCTTTTAGCTTTGTCCACTAAATAAATAACTGGGGCAAGGTCTGCTGCTGCTATAGTCCTGCCATCGGTAATTTTGTAAATATATTTCAGACTGAGGCTATAGAAGGAGTAAACCAACTGCAGCATTTCCACCTGGTAGGCTTTGAAACTGAAGTGGCAGGAAAAAGATCCAGACAACAAATTAATTCTGCATATGAAATGATGCATCGTTTAGTTATACTGGATATTGAAGAAGACTGGGCAGAGACAACCATATGCTACAATCATCATTAGCTGACCAGATTCCACAGATAATTCTACTTAAAGAAATTACACTTAAACTGTGTGAAAAGAAAAATACTTTCATATTCAACGCACTTACGCTCTGTGCGTATCTAGAGTCACTACTATTCCTTTAGTAAATAAGGCAAGTTACATGGCTTTTCCTTACACAGCCTTTCCATCCCTGTTAGTTCTGCAGACCCAGCATGGCTAAGGAAGATGAGGAACATGATTCCTACCAATTGCAAAGACCTAAATTCTGCTCTGTATCTCACCTCTGTGCTTCCCCTGGAGTTGTAATCATAACACAGTGAGGCAAATTTGTGCTGGTTATACATAAAAAGAATTCTCTTGGATCATGGAGGCTTTGGATCATGAATTGCAGGATGAGCGTACAGTGCAATGCAAGACAGGCAACCACAGAAGAAAAAATGTTGGACACAGGCTAGCAAAGCAACGAATTTTTAGCAAGCAGGAATTACTGATGTTTTGACTTTTTAAAGATACAATAGACAGATTTACCTATGAGTCTAATAAAGTTTTTAGAAGGCAATGTATTTTTCACTCCTAGCAAAGTTACTTGGTCTGGGTGGTGAAGTGTTTTTCTGTTTTTTCTGAGAGGCAAGGAGGACTCAGTCATGAAAATTTTATTAATCTCTTGTTATGACAATCTGAAGTACAAATAGAACTCATGATATCTGTAGGAACCTGTGTCTTAGTGTCTTAGACATGCCATCACTGCTGTTTATAAAGCAGTCATGGAGAATGAGACTGAGGTTTTGTTCTTTTTTTAACATAATTACATATACATTTTTTGTTGCTGTTTCCTAGAAATTGGGGCACAAGTATTAAAACAGCATACTTTTTATCATAGTTGGAGGCTGATGAGAGCTATCTGGGGGAGAGGCAGGCCTCTGTTAGTGGGAAGAAGCAATTCAAATCTTGCATTTGAGGATCATTAGTCCTATTGCAAAAGGTTCAGAATGAAGAATTTACATCTCTCTGAACAGCAGGATAAAAATCAACCAATTCATTCATAATTTCCACCTGGCAACCCACTAAGAAAACATGGTATAAAGATACTCTTTCTCATATTAATTAGAATTTCTCCTTTCTAAAGAAAACAAGAAATTGATTTGGTATTTATGGAATTGTTTAGTCTAAGCCCTTTATTGAACAAATATGAGCTTTAGATCTTGTAAATCTGGCTTTCCCTAAGCCTGTTAAAAACACTGACCTGTGAGAGAGGGCATTCTTTGGCTAATGTGCTCTGATTCATCTCTTTGAGCAGTTCCTTTAAGGCATTGCGAACTGTGGCGTGGTTCCACTGCTCTGCTGGCAAGTCTTCCAACTTTGAACAACTGTTAAAACAGAAAGCAAAAAGTAGATAGAATCATCACCTTCATAGATGCTTGCTTTTGCATACAAGTGCTATAGACCTTTAAGCAGCGAGCACAACCTTGGAGGTTCCTGCTTAGCCAGTCCATCAAGGTGTTTCTCCCCTCCTTCCCCTCCCCACCAAGTCTGACTCCCAGAAGATGTGTAGTTTAACTAAAAGAATGACAGTACATGGCAGGAATAGCAGCTAATCCTACTATGATATTATATGTGTGCATAACCATTCCCTCTGGGGCCTGGTGGAGAGCAAAGAAACTGCGCAAAGCAAGGCCCAGAAATGGCTGGATAAAGCCATCCTCTCCAGACAGAGAAAGATACTCCTGCTGGGATACAAAAATAAACATATATGCCACTCCATCACTAACAAAATCACTAAACAGTAAGGGCCTGCATTGTGTGGAGGCAAGGCTTTGAGCAGTGAGTCTGAAAAAATAATTTTCTTTTATACCGGTTCTTATACTGCCCTCATCGCTGAAGTATCCGAAAGCCTTTCAGAAACACATTAAGCCATATGCCCAACATCTGTCACATGTAGTTCATCCTCACTTTCATTCTACAAGAATTGCACATGTAGTGAAGCTTTTGTCTTCACGTGACTTGTGCCTCTTCTGATTTAACAAGCTTATGGTCTGTGTCTACATACATGGGGACAGACCAAAGAAACACATCAGAAAGTTGGGAGAAGCTTGTCATTGCCATTCATGCCTGAAAAACTTAGTGCACGCTCTCCAGTCAGCCTCTGAGGTGGTTCTGCCTTCTGCCTCTACAGCCCGGCTTTACCCTTAGAGTTGAAAGTTCATTTGTGCTTCAGGAGTTCAAGTAGTCAATGACCGTTTTTATCTCAAAGTCATGGGCTATCTTTTATTTACACGGCATCCAGGCATTCAAGCACTTTGAAGATAAAGAATGAGACCTTGATCTTGGGTTGACACCCTCCAGTAATACAGACTTGACAATAGGCTACATGGACTCCTGGTAGCTCATACTTCTGAGGAGATGAGTTACTGCGCTCTAGCTTTATAGTGGCAACAGGTTCTGGGTTGCTCTTTTACAACTATGCTGCGGAGATGCAGTCTAGCTGAGAAATGATAACAGTATATAAAACCAAGGAGATGCCTGTTAGTGGGAATTGGAAACCCCAAGCCCCATCAGAGATATAACAGGAAAGAAATGTTGCTGTTTGGGATGTCAACTACTTCCAAATTCCAAACTGAACTGAACAGTTGGAGGGTATGTACCTGCCACCAAAGGACACAGACACACGTCCTGATGGACCCCTCTTCTGTTCAAGTCAAGCTTCAAAGAATTGTGGGCAAATTATTCCAGGCTGTCATTTTTGCCTCTTTCCTCTGACATGTCCTGGCCATAGAGCTACAGCAGACTGCGCAATGTAGGCTTACCAGCAGGTCTAGAGTATGCCATGCACTGCCAGGGACCTGCCACAACTCCTTACGCAGACATCAGTAACTATTTGAGGACTCTTTTGGAGGCCAATAGAGAGAAAGGGAGAGAAAAAGTAGGAGGGGGGGGAAGGGAGGGCAAGTAAGTGTAAAAGTATCAGGAGCTTTTGCTTTTCTAATCAGAACTAGCATTCAGGTAAGGAAAATATTTTCCAAATGCCAAATGGAGCTGCAGTAACACATCCCTTCCTCATCTTCTTGCTTTTTCACTGGGAAGACCACTGGAGAAAAAAGGAAAGTCAACAAGCTCCCCTCCTCCCCATCTCAGCAACTGGCAGTAGAAGACCTAGATTCTCACAATGCAGCCCCTAGAAAGAGGCAAGGAGTTTATTTTTTTGATACAATAAGGCCTTGAGAATCCATTAAATTAGGGATTGTGGAAAGGTCTGCCTTTAAAGGCCCCATATCTTTACTTGATTGAGTTGATGCCCCTCCCCCCTCTGCTACCATATTGCTACTTCAGAAAACATACAAGATCAGTTGGAACATGCACCGAAAAGCTGCCAGGTGACCCACCCTTCTCTTCATTTTTCTTTTCATTTCATCAAAAGACCAGAAATTAATGAAGACAGGATGTGCTAATCTCTGTAGTAACGCTGTAATCGACAGAGCAGCTCAGAGAATAGAGAAGGACAGATGTTCAGAAACACCCACCTTTGTAATTGGATTTTCAATGTCACAACATGATAGACATCTTGTAGCATGTCGGCTACTGTCGCATCTGGTGCATCAGTCACATAACTGAGAGGGAGGGGATTCCACCTCCCAAGCTTGATTATTCCTGAAAAGAAAACAAAAAATTCATACTTTATATTTTATTGGCCATTTACTAAACCCTTTGATAAGCTTATTTGTTCACGAGATTCAAGATCTGCTTTGAGGTTTATTGCAGTCTTGCTCAAAAAGATGTGTTGTACTGACTCCTGAAGCAAACAATGGGGAAGAGTAGGAATAGATTTTAAATTCTTAACAGAGAGTTGCTGACATGTTCCTGGCTCTTAAATTACTTCAAGGAAGCACAGGAGGCTTCCTCCTTTCACATCTTTCATCATCCCACTAAAGCCTAGTTCTCTAAGTTAGAACAAGCTTTAAATACTCTATAGTTCTGATTTTGCAGTCTACAAAGCCCTTCAGCAAATAAATGCATTGGTTTTGACTTGAACAGGAAAATTCCTATGTGTGGGCTTTCAGCACACAGTTACAATCTAAGCATGGTACGATTCGCAGTGTGGATGGATGGCACTGGAAATCCACAAAGTAGGAAGAGTTCACTCCCAGCTACAAGTTGCACTATGCAGACGGTTGCTTTTCTTTGCGAAAAAAACAACTGCAAGCTGCTGACCACAGATCCAAAATAGCATTTTGGGGGCGGGGGGGGAATGCTGTAAGTCCTATTTCTACTTCTGTTCATTCTTTAATAGGGATCATCACCTCTTCTGGATGAGCTTGTCACAAAGACTGTAAACTTGGATGGTAAACCATTTGGTGCAGAGGTATTATTTCTGTTTAGACAATTGCAGAGGGCCCACCCACACCAAAAACAATGACTAATACCCAGGAATGACTTCCAGGAAGACACCAAACAAAGAAAGCCACAGTGCCATCTTACATGACAGCAAAGCAGTTCAGCCTTGTTCTGCACTATTGCAACTACTGCTTTTATTCCCTCCTCCACCGTGTTCCCATTGCCCCACTGTTCTGCTCACATAACTCTTCTCAGCGCGGCCCCACAAGACACCAATCACCTTTTCTCCCACTTAAACTGACGCCTTTTGAGGTCTGCTTATATACCTTTTGATCTTCAAAAAGATCATCTGTAAACTCTACTGCCAGAAATACACTAATAGATGAGAAAACTATTTTCTTAACAGGAGCTCCAAGAACCCTTTCTGGCTATCTGGAAGGATGCTGTGATGCCAAGAAACTTCAACTCTCTCCTCCTCACTTTCTACTCCCAGTTCTTCACCAGCTCTGGAACTAATCAAACTGAAATAAATGGCAAAGGCCTTTTATCCTGATCTCCCAAACACAATCATAAAATAAATACCACCTCTGAAACAGCGAAACACGGCTTCTTGCACAGAGACAACGACAGAACACAATGCTTACGAGCCCATGAAATAACTGCTATGGAGTATTTTTTCCCCATTCCTACACAGGTTGAGGAGGAAATAATTTTAGTACAACTCCTTTTCTCTAGCACTTAGATGTTTGCGTTTACCATTGACGTATTGCTTTGCAAGGTATTCTATCACCACATATTGAAAGAAGCTCGAAGCAACCTAGCTCATCCTCAGTGACACAAAATTTCACTATAACATGCTGGTATAGACAGGCTAATATTTCAAGAGCAGATTAGAAAGCTTTTGGCAAGGGGAGATCTTGTCCAAATGAAACAAAAAGTTAGTAAGTGTTGCTTGATATCCAATGCTTGAAAATGGGACATAAACAGAACAAAAACATTTAAATGATGCACTGTTTCAGTATTAAAATTTAACAATCTGGTGCTGAATATGCTGCAGTATAAATAGTGCCTGGACTCAGATCCAGTAGAGTAACACACAGCACTCATTCACAGCACCGTATGTCTCCGGTGCTGGCTCCTTGAGTCATATTCCACTTGCCAAGAAAAGCTGTTTTTCTTAAGGGGATAGTTTACTTAATGTTATCTCTGGTGACAACAAGAAATACATATAGTACAGCATATATTAGTCATGAAATGAGCATCAAGGGTCCACTGAGTGAAATACATGCTGGGAAAACACAGTTTAGCTGCTGACTTCCTTCACCCCCTTCTGCTATATAATAAAGCAAAATCACCTAAAAATCCAGAAATCTATACCAGCTTCACAGAACACTTGGCTTCCTATGTTTAACCACGCCAAGTTTTCATGTAATTGAAAAAATAAGCATCATATGTGCCCCATAAGTCACATCTAAATTGGTAATATTTTACAAGAGGCTTTATTTTTCATTCAATTAAGGAAAGCACTCAGAGAGCACACCATCTGCAACTGCTCGGGCCTGGCAATGCTGGCGAGAGACAAAGAGACGGTCGGGGGTCACTGAAGTTACCAAAGGTGTCCCCAAACTAAAAAAGTTTAAAAGAGAAAAACCACAGCGTAGCCACAGTGCACCATGGGAAATACTACGCAAATCGCTTTACAGGAAATGTCTGCTACTACTGGAAGTTAGGTAGATTTTTTTTTTTTTTAAAAAATCCTCCTCTACAACTAGAGAGGAAATTGTTTTGGCTGGATTTAGACAAACACAGGTGTTACCATAATGCTGGGTGCCTCTGCACGTTAACACCTGCTGCGAGTCCTTTACTCTGTGTTACAGCACTGCTGATGTGCACTATTTTTTCAGCCGGTGTGATATGATGTGTGAAATTTTTTTTTTCCAGAGCACATTAAGCTGGTCCAAACGATAGCCAGAAGCCATGGTTTCCATCCAGCTCCTCAGCAGACTTCACAGGTGTTTTATTTCATGGCACCGATGCTGTACTTATGGCAACTCTTGGGCTACATTTAGGAAGATGATGCCAGCTTGTTGAGCGAACGTATTCTCTGCACACTGGAAGACATCTCTGAATGACTCCTCAGTAAAATCTGAGTAGACCAAAATTTTCCCCCTAAAAAGGTCCCTTCTCATCCAGGACTGGGTGTTTCTAGCGTAACAGCAACGCCAAGATGAGAAGAGCATGGTAGCCAGGAGTCACTTCCACACACACATTTTTTACTGTTCCTCTCATTGACTCCAAATGGTACAGCTTAGGCCTTGAAAGAAATCACTTTAACTGGCCTGACTGAGCTTTTATCCCACCACAACTGCGACTTGGGAGTAGGGACAGGAATGAGCAAAGGTCACTGTGTTACTAATGAATATACTACTGCTCCAGGAATATCACTCCTCTGTCAGCTCCAGACCTTCTCAAAATTATGTGTGGATAACGTCAGCAGATCAGACTGCTCAGGAAATCCGAAAGCACATCTTTCATGAGTTCACAAAACTCTTCTGTTAATGAGTCTGGTTCTCTTTCCTCTATCAATGATCCTTTGGGACTCTTTTCCTGTAAGAGTTTTTTGAACTGAAAGTTCAACAGATTTCAAAGCTTGCACACACCCAAGCTTTGGAACAGCTCTCGAGAACTCATCTAGAAACGGTTGAATGCAGCCCAGGACAGTTGGTCAACAAAGACAACAAACAGACCAAACAGTTTTCTCCAAAATTTTTTTTTTCAAAACGTATTTTAGAAGGGATTTTCTATCCACGCTGGCTGTAGGTTCTTGAATGCACGTCCTTCTACAGACAGGTCTTTTATTAAGTTTAAGCTTCAGCTTCATCAAAACGCAGATAAGGAAAAAAAGATGGAGTAACCTAGTTTTAAATTTGCGTAACTCCTTTTTCCCAGAAGAACACACTAGCAGCAAACTTCTGTGAGCTCGAGTGCCAGGTTCATACATAACAACCACTGCAATTCACTGCTGTCGTTCCACTTAGGCCAATGATGTGCCACCCTGCCAGAGTGCTTTCAGTTTAGTTTCATTTAAAATGCAGCTCCTTTGGAGAAGAAAGTGATAACTACGCAAGTCAGAGCAGAACAATACGTTGAACAGAAGGCTTGACCAGCTATATCATGGCTGACCTCTCTATCTAGCAGAACTTGTCACAGGATCTTCATGACCTTTATTCTACAATATCACCTGAAAGAGTGATGCATCCAAAGCACTGGGATTATTACTGGGACTTCACCCGAGTGAGATGTGAACTGAATGGATGCAAGGTTGGGGCTAAAGCAGACTTCTAGAATAACTACGTTAATCAGGAGCATAACAACAGCAAAAGGCAAAAAGCTGCTTTCCTGGAAAAATACATCTAAGCTGGCAAACCCTTTTCATTAGTATGTAGCTTATGCTGTCCCAGAAAATTATTTACCTATATGGGCTAGAAGCCTCATTTGTCTTTGCAAACGGAAAGATAGCCATACAGTACACTTGTTCTAAGAATGCCACATCTGGGATTTAGAAAATATATATATGATAGTCTAGCTATGACACTTCCTGGTTATAAACAGAATGAGGTCTGAGTCCTGCATCTCCCAGTCACCTGCACAGTTCACTTTTTATCTGGATAGTCCCACAGGAATTCCTGGGGCATCTCATGGACATTTCAATACATCACTACTGCAAAATCAAACTCTTAAAATAGGGCATTTTCCAAATTCCTTTTTGCAGCTAAACAGAGCAAACAGGACCAGAACACGCCTCGCGCTGTCACTGCCTCCCTTCACAAACTATCCCCTGCTCCCACATGGTTAGACTCCCGATTTCATCTTTCACAAATTATGAGCATACCTGAGTTCCATCTTAAATGGATACCTGTAGGAGGGTCACACAGGATTAATGCAATTTATTTAAAATGCTAATCTGCTAGGGTTAAAATTAAGTCACGGGATCAAATGAAGGACATTTTGGATGTTCCTATTAGCATCACCACCCCCACCTCAACATTTTTCTGGAGACAGCTACAAAACGAATCATGAGTAATACTTGCCCAAATATGTCCAGAGAGGGAAATTTGGCTAAAGAGGAAAAGAAGCATAGCAGAGAATACTGATTCCTTACCAAACATTGAAAAGCACTTGTCAACACTAAGCAGACAAACCATTTGAATCCCTGATACACACCACCACACCAAAACCTCTCATTTTCTACAGCATAAGCAAACGTAACCTGCTGAGACTCATATAGGGTGGGGTATTTAAAGCAGACAAT